CCGCCGAAAACCCCCCCCAGCCGGCAAACTCAGTGGCAAATCTGACCGCCGCCTTGAGGTAGACGTGCTCCCCATCCCCCCAGGTCTCGGCACACACCTTCATCGCCCTGAGCCCCTTGACGAAATGCGCATCCAACGCATGCTCTCCCCTCAGCGCGCGGTCCACCACCCACGCCCAATCCTTGCCTGCGATGTCGTAGTCCAGGATGTGTTTCACGATGGAGATGCGGGGGCGGAGCTGGGCGATGTAGAGCGCGACGGTGAGGAGGAACCACTGGCGGAGGAGGGGGAGGTGGGATTTTTCCGGCAGGAAGGGGAGGAGGATGCGGACGGCATGCGAGGTGGTGAGGAGGTGGAGGAGGAAGAAATCGTACTCCGGTTGCTGGTCTCCAGCGCACGTCTGCTGTGCGGCGGAGATCAACAGCGCCACCGCAGCCTGTTGAGTCTGCTCGAACTGCTTCTTCGGCGCGGTGATCTGCCACGCGTTCCAATATTCCAGCACGATGGGTTCGTGGTCGGCGAAGAGGACGTCGAGATTATTGCCGCCGGGCTCGGAGAAGAGGTGATCGAGCCGCTGATCGGCCTGGATCCTGGCCAGGATGTCCAGCGGATCACCCGTCGTCTGCTGCTCCACCGTCGTCTCCCGCGGCGCCGAGTACCTCGGATCATCCAGGTACTTGTGCAGATGATTGTAATTGGTGGCGGCCAGGCCGAGCGCCTCCATGGCCACCTCCCTCGAATTCAACTCATACGCATACCCGAGATGGATCAACGGATGCCCGAGTCCACACACGAGGTTATTGACTAACGGCGCGCCCTCATCGAACAGAAACTCCTCCACCACGGCGCGCCAATCGAACCCCTTCCGCACCAGCTCATCCTCGAAGAAATCCACAAACGCGCGCTCGTACTCGCGCCGGCCCAGGAACTTTATCCCGAAGTGCGCCACATCAACCAGGGACCCACCCCCCCCGCCGCTTCGCTGTCGTAGATGCGGTGAAGGTGCTCCGCGTCGCCGCCGAGAATGTACGCCGACCCCAGGATATGTGGGGTGTGGTTGTGGAAGTCGCGGTGGTGGTAGAGGATGGCGTGGTTGACGTGGTTGAGTTTCAGGAGGTGTTTGAGACGGCGCCGGGTTCGGTCGCGGGATGCGCTGCTGGCTTCGATGTCGTGGGTGGGCACGGGAGAAAGGCAGATGGAGGTGGTGGTGGCGGAGCGGCCGAAGAGGGAGGGGAGTTTGAGGGACGGGAACGAGAACATGTTTGGTTGTTGGTGTTGCCGAGTTTAGGTGTAGGTTGAGGTTGAGGTCTCACTCAAACACATGGGGCGTGGGGGGAGTGACCGGGAGAAATGGTGGTGAGGGTCAATGTCAAACATTGATGCTATGCTCCTGTACTACGTAGTGGGAGGGCACCCGACCTTCATCTCCGCACTCTCCGTACTCCGCTCACATGCCCCCCTCGGGAACTGGAGAAACAAAACCCCGCAGCGGAAAGCTTGGCACTGTCCACGGGGCACTAGGCACTGCTTCAACCTACCATTACTAGTATTACTATATCCCTCGAGCCTGGCGAGTCCCACTTCACTTAGAGCGGCAAAATCACGGGCATCGATGGCATTGATCTTGGAGTAACTGGTCTTGCAACTATAAAATCTTTCTACTTGACAGCTTTGGTATCATGCACAGAATTCACCATTATGTTAGTACAGAAGAGGCATCATGGGCCTCTGCACACAGCCATGCTTTTCCGACTCCCCAATCACACACAAAACACCATGACCATTGCACCGCCCGGAAAAACAAACATGCAACGAGGATTACAAACAGATCCTTCCTCCTAATTAGAACGAGCCAGACTCGCCGTACGCGCCGTTCGCTGCCTCGATAATCAATCATCCCTCATAGCAGGCTGACATCACTATTTCGGTAAAGTCTCGCGTCATCGGGGCGTACAGGTCTGAGCATTGGACTCGCGCCTGGTGATACAGCTCGAGATCCTGGTCTGGAATGGCCTCGTGGTGTGCCCCAACCAGACATGAGCGAGTCCCTGCCGGACATACTGGAATCCCTGGGGGAAAGCGCAGAATAAATCGCAGAATAGCGTACACTCCGGGCGCTCATGGTACTCATTCTTCCGTTGCCATCTCTGGGCGCGAAGACGGGGAGGCGGCCGGGATTGAGTCGCGGCAGCGCTTCATCATTGGAAGACTGGCTCATGGCTGAATTCGAGCGAATCGACACCGGCCGACCGTTCTCCAGCATAGGGAAGTTGGACAAGGTGGTAAATGCAGATGACATGCCACTGGCCGCCGAAGACCTCCAAGAATGCACCGCACTTCGCGGGATGGTGATGACCTCTTCGTCTGGCGGCGCCGAGAGGTCAATGGCATGGGCGACATCTTGTTGATTCTCATGCTCGCCCGTGACACGGCTGGCCATCAACTTCCGGGCCTTGCCAATCCACAGCATTTGCTCGTGTTCACGTAGATATCGCTCGCCACTGAAAGACTTCTGCACGATATTGCGAGTCATCATTCCCAGCTTCCTGCGCTGCTCGCTCTTGTCATACATGCGCTTTTGAATAGCGACGACTTCCTCGCGCGTCGGTTCGAATGACAGCGTCGGAGCCGGCTCCGTGTCTTCCGCATATCGGCTCCATTCTCCAGTCAGAGCGAGCAGATTGATCTGCGCTTTGGCGAGTGCACGTGCATCATTGGGCGCCACCACAGCACTGTATCGGGAGAAGTCATCTGGATCACTCAGTACACGAAGCGAGGCGCCGACGTCCGTGCAGACAACGGGCGCTCCGGTCAAGGCAGCCTCACCAAGAGCTAGAGGAAGGCCTTCCGAGAGGGACGAGTTCAAGAACAACCAGGTATTCTCCAGCACTTTCATCGGGTTGGCTGTGCCACACAACCTGACTTGGCCTCGAAGCGACTTGGACGCAATGATTTCTTGACATTCTGTCGAGTAGGTAGGCGCTTTGTCAATCGCACCGTAGATGTCGAGATGATAGTCATCAAATCCCCACTCATTGATGATGATGTCCGCAGCCAGAAGAGCGGTCTTGATGTCCTTGGCATACCAGACGTGCGACAACATGGTAACGGTGGGAATCTTGCTCTTGATCTCTTTGACCGGCGAGAACGAGGTCATATCTACGATACCGTTGACGACTGGGTCAATCTTGCGCTTGAAGCTGTTGCGATGCTCGATCGCACCCTGGCTGGTACCAATCTCGATTTCCCAACCGGGATTGAAAAAGTCGGCACATGGGAGAATAATGTCGGCATGATGGAGAATGAGAACCGAGGTCATGCGCATCAGCCCGAGCAAGGAATTTCGCACAAAGGGAGGAAGCTTGCAGAGTGCAGACGAAAGGCACAGGTTGGTCTCTCTCCAACTGATGGCGTGATCCCAAATCTGCAGCTGACATTTGCGCTTGATCTTGCAGACGACGCCGTACGACGCACTGACACTGTGATGCGAAGCTTGAAACACAGCCGGGATTTTGTCGGGCACGGGGATCGAGAAGATAAACAGATAGCGGAACCATAGATCTAGCGCGGTATCAAGATGTCCGAGGGTGGGAAGCTCGGTGTCGAACCACTCAGCGGACGGTTTGGCGTTGGGCATCTCCTGTGTGAGCCACAGATCACGCCAGCTTTCTTTGACCATCTCGCTGGTCCAGACCTGGCTCCAATGGCGGGAGTCCTGAAAGTACGTGTTCAGATTGACCAGCGCTCTGGTGGCCTGTTGAACATCCGCGGTGGACAGATTCCGCGCTCGTGCACCCTTGACCAGCGCGGTCAACGTCGGGATGAAATTTCGCTTGATATCAAGATCGGTGGCATCGGTAAGGATAGCATCGACTTCAGAGTCCAACCGGTTCTTGAACAGACCGTGGGTGGGCATGAGGAAGTCAAGACCCCACAGGGGAATGACCTTCAAGGACTGCACATTCTGCTCCGTTTGATGCTTGGGGATGCCGAAATCATTGGCCGACTCGCAGATCATGTGCCATTTGATGCTTTTGAGTGAGTTGATCATGTCTCGTCGGCATGCTGACACACCACCACCCTCGTTGGGCCAGGTTCCATTGTCCGCCGCCATGACGTGAAGAGTCTTTGCAGTGTCGAAACCAACATCTTTCGAGCGCGTGTGCACCACGGCGTCGCCACCGGGCCCAAAATTGAACAAATCACTGATCTTGAAAGCCAGCGGCGTCCAGCTCGAGACATCATCATCAAGATCAGCGCTGGCCATGATGGCGTCCGCGCGGAGATCAAGGTATTTCTTCGCCGCCACCAGGTTGCCACGGTTCCGCGCTGCCCAGTAAGGCCGCAGCACCTTGTCTCTCCTCAGGAGTCGGTCATCCATCCACCGAACCATGACACCATCGAGGTCTTTGCGCTCCTTCCATGCCTTCCACAGCTGAGAGCGAGATCGCGACGTGGAAACAGGGAATCGTTGCTTGCTCAGGCCCAGCCAACGCGAGAAGACGTTGGAGTTGAGCGAGTCACAGTAGAACAGTGGGTTGTCATGGATGAAAGCAGTATCTTTCGGTTTCTTCAGAACGTCCAGATAGTCAAACTCAATCATGGGAGGCGTCTTCACTTTCTGCCCGTTAAGCGTCGTGAAGATGGTGGGATGGAACTTGTGGTCGTACAGCCATTTGCTTTCATACACATCCGGTCCCTGCACGAAGGTCGCCTCGGTGATTTTCGAGTGAGGTATCCAACGTTCAATCTTTTCCGGATGTCGTTTGGGTGGAGCACACCAGGATACCGTGCAACTGATGTGCGCCAGCACGAACTCAGCCCGGAGTAATTCATCACCAAATCGCGTGTTCTTCCGATAATGAAGTTTGAATCGTATCAGATTTCCATCCTTCATGTACGAGCCAGCTTCGATCAAGCCTTTGCGATTAAATTGCACACTCTGCAGATTATTCTGACCACGGATGCACCGTCGCCCAATTGGCAACTTGGCATGCACACCTTTGGACAACTTCAGCGCACGTTTGGCAGGCGTCTGGTAGTCATAGTGATACTCGTTGGTGAGCTTCGCCCCGTCGAATTCCTCTCTGATATCCAAAAGGAGATCCTTGGAGTACGTACTGATGGTACGCAGCTTTGCAGTGCCTTCAGGCTCGCTCTTGTGGACGCCTTGGTAGTGGTATAGCTTGAAGCCACCGTTGGGTTCGTTGTGGCGGAATGCAGTAAATGTCCCACTCTGGCTGTGAATCAAGACACGGTTGCGTTTGAGGGCGATGCTCATACCCTTGGCTTCTTCCCATAGGCGCTGCACATCAGGTCTGTTGTGGAACAGGAAGAAGGAGAGGCCAAGATTCTGCATGAATCGCGCATACGTCCAGATTCCGTTCAAGAGGAACACCATTGGTACTCGAAAAGCGGCGGGCTTGCGCGACATCGAATAATCGAACTCGCGTTGAAATTCAGGCTCGGCGACCATGGCGATGACGAAGAACTTGATCCCCGTACCCAAGGTGTGGTATAGATAGCTGAACGGTTTCTTGAGAAATGTCAACTTGGTGCTCACGTGCGCAATGCTGTCCTTGGTCTGTGATTCCTTAGCAATGCCACCTTCTATGCCGACGGTTGGAGCGTAATCGAGGATGTTGACGGCAACCGCCGCACCGAGATTGCACCGCGCTACATGTACATTGAGATCGGGGGTGTCAAAACGACACAAACTGGCCGTCAGCCACTGCCATTGAGATTCTGACAGTCGGCAGTATTCACCAAGACAACGCTTGAGAAGCACACCACGGATTTCTTTGGGCAAGCGATCCCAGTCCGTGTCGCATTGGAAGCCAAGACACAATTGCTTCAGCAACTGTCGCCTTGCCCACCGATTGACGAGAGAGGAGTCGGATTCTTCATGCAACTGCATCTTGACATTTTGCGTGATGTCCGGACTGATGAGAGACTCGGTCAGAATGGCATAGTCGTGGGGGATCTGAAGCAGCGCCTCGGCAACGGAGTGAATCAAGGTCTCTGCCACGATCTGACAATTGCGCTTAACATCAACAAGCTGATCCACTCCCCCACCTGCGCCGATGACGATCCTGAGGCAACCTTCAGTCGCGCAGCTGATGGCTCGAAGACCCGGACCAAGGTGCGATTGAGGCACCAGTTCCAGGGCGACGTTACCGTTCTCCCACGCTTCTATGCTCCAGTTGACGAGATGAGCGGCGTCCGGAAAGGCGTCCACTAGGCGCTGATCATCTTTGAAATTGCGGACAAGTGCCTTGACTTCGATGCCAGGATGCATTGTAGGATCGAGCTTGTAGCGAGCCTCTGCCGGAACCGAGGAGAGATTGTCATAGGTGGTCTGCAGTTCTTGCTGGGACCAGTCGGGATCGGCCCAAGGAGTGGTGTAAGCGTGGAATGTGCGACCAAGCTCCACCGGAGAATCGACCCTTTTAGGCATACCGATCTGCGCAGTCCACATGGAGAGTATGGCGCAAGTCCAGGTGCCAAACGCCAGAGCTGCCACGCTCGTGTACATAAAGTCCGGGAATACTCTCTTCAAGGCCACTCCTAGTGGAAGGGCAAGGCCCACAGAGATCAAGAGAGGCTTCAATGCATGTGGGCCCGAGAAGATCTTGGTATATTGGTACCACAACAGACCAGTGTAAGCGATCACGTAGGCACCGAACATGATCATCGCTTCGAGAGAGCTCTGGAATGCCCATATCAGAGCGGTGCTGAAGGCCAGGCCCCACACATGCCAGCCGAGGAATTTCCCGAGGGTGGTCCAGTAGAGTCGGCGCTTTTGCCGCACCTCTCGCTTCTGGTGAGCACGTATTTCCTTCGCCGTCTTGATGCCCGCCGGTTCAACCTTGTTGACCAATGCGTGAAGGTGAGATGCCTTCGTATCCACCAGCACCGCACCGATCAAGTAGTAAGCAAGTCCGAAACCAACGGCAAACCGAAACTCGTCATTCAGAGCAGCTGAAAGACCAAGCAGATTGCCTCCTGAAACAAGCTCTATCCACTTATCGAGCAGCGCCACCAAGAAGTACAAGATACCACATCCTACCTCATCACCTGCCTGGCGCCAGTGTATAAAACCACTGTGTAAGCGGATACCCTTCTGCGCATTACAGAGCGTATCCAGGGCAACCTTGGTTTGAATATTCCACGACGAGCTAAAGGGAATCGGACGAGGTACGTCAGAATATCTGCAGTACCAATCCAAGAGGAAGTTGGTCGAACTCCAGTCCCTCGCGAGTTCGAGAACTATTTGGTCCTTTGTAGCTTTCTGAAAACGCCCTCTCCCACACTCGGCGAGAACGTCGTGGTGAAGTGCTTCTCGCGCCATTTTCAACGCGGCTGGATCAGACATGTTTCCGAAAACCTTTTCGTTGCCATTAGCTTTGTTGGATATGTACCACTTCTTGATCTCCGCGTCGTCGGTTTTTCTCAACCTCTGGAACCATGTAACCCATTTCGAGCCAATGTGTCGGAGGCCGAAAAGCAGAAGCCCAATAAAGACATAAATGACGGATAGGTAAACAATACTGTCGTAGCCGGAAAACATGGTGATGATGGGTGAGACAAAGAGCCAAGGTATGCATAAGATGATCACCTTTCGGCCAGATAAGAAGGCTGTCCCCGGAAATTGAAAGCTGGCCACGGCGGCAAATAGCGTCAAATATGCGGTCAAAGCAAATAAGTAGAGAGCGAAGATGATGCCGGCATGAATGCCACGTGCTCCAGAAATAGCTGCGAAACCAATGATAGCACCTGCAATGGTGAAAGCGAGGCCTGCAATCAGCCTCGTCAACACAAAAACGTTCGTTGCCGAGAAGGCCATGGAAATCAGATAGTATGAGCCACCACAAGAGATCCAAGTGCCGATCGCACCAGAGAGGAGCAATGATACCATCAATGCCTGCGTAGCACTTTGCTGTTCGGGAAAACTCATGAATGCGCTCAGATAGAGCCCACGTCCTGTGGTGGTAAGAAGTATAATGTCTACCAGGGCTGGGATGGCGAAAACGCTCAAGAAGGTAAAGCGCTGGAAGCCGGGGAGTGGCTTGACTGTATCGTCTGGATTGCAATCAATCTGTGCACCAGCATAGGCTGTGGCAAGTGCCGGTGCACCATTGACCCAGCTCGGTGGCTGCTTCTTGTCGTAATAAGCCCTGTAGCGATCCGAGAGAAGCTTCCCAAAGATGCTCGGAGCAACATCAAAATACGCCTCGCACCGAGAACCAAGGGCAAAAGATTCGGCAAACGCGGCCGCTTGGTCAGACTGATCATTGAAAAGCGGGTTACGATCCGTCACCTCCATGTACACTTCGTCGAAAGCTCCTTTTCTAGCGGCACAAAAGATAGCGAGAGCAAGCATGTCAGCGTAGGCGTCTATGCTTCCTTTGACAACAATCGACTCGAGCGTAGCCGTAACTTGATTTAATTGGTCTTCCCGACGATGTTTGAGGATGTGGGTAAACTGTGTATCGACATCGAGAAACATTGCAAGCGCTTTTGACAATTCGGGATACTGACAACCCTGTTCTCGGTACCATGCGATTCGGGATTTAATGAGATCCCTGACCGAGACATTACCATTGAGGAAGCCAACAGTGTTGAGCTCCTTTAATTGTGCCATGGACGGAACGTCTAGAAGTTGGACACGTAGATGGGCTCGAAGCCTAGCCAACAGGATGTCTTCTGCATCAGACAAGCTCAGATGTTGTAGAAGCAGCAGCCGCTCTTCTGGCGTGAGGACCTCGATATCCTGCACCCACCGGCGAGGAAGTCCGCTAGGTTCCACGGTATCACGAGACCACTCTGCCAAAGCCGCCTCGATGTGAAAGCATTGATGGCGAGGGAATCCCCGGCTGGAGAGAAAGGTGTGGAGAATCGTTCCTGCTAGACCTTGGGCGTTCTTTGAGACGTAGATTTCGAGGCCTTCGGAATCGGCCTGATAAACAGCCCAGAACCGAATCTCTGCGTTTTTCCGGAAGCCGGAATCCAATCCGAGGTGCACTTTGAGGAAATTGTTGGTAGCCAGTGTCGCAAGTTCCTTGACAGCGGCAACAATCTGCGGAGGGTGTGCTCCATGAGAGGTCAAGTGCTTCTCGTGGAAGCGTCGATACAGCGTTCCGATATTCTGTAACTTTTGCTGCGCAACTGGATGCAGTAAGGCCAGACCCTTTAAGCGATGTTGTGACTGCAGGATCTCCGCAAACGCGATTGGCGACGCATCGAACCCCAGAGGAAAACATCCCAACGAGTTATACTCGTGTCCAGAAGCGGATACTGATAGTGGATTGCCTCGGCGACCAATCTGCTCAGTCCATTCAGGTGGATCGTGCAAGGCTAATTTCAGCTGTTCATGGTCCGCTTCGCCTGCCTCTGCAGAGTCGAGCGCTCTCGGAACGCCATGGAACAAAGGAAACAAAGGTCTCCAACTTTCGTGGCTGACGGGTTTGGCAACAACCTCCGGATTGCCTCGCCAAATATCGTGGAGCTTCATAACCTTGTCGTCCTTCAACCATTCGAACGCACCGAGAGGCTCGACAACGGGGACATTGAGAGCAGCATCGGTCAACGCAGCCTTTGGCCCTATCCAGGTTATCGCACTGTAAAAGCTACACCATTGAACGCTTCGTTTGACCACTGAGTTTGCCAGAGTAGCCTGATCGTCAATTGTTTCCCAAGCCATGACCACAAAATCTCGCAGACAAGATTCCGAGACGAACGCCTTGACAGTTTTCTGGAGGTTTGTCATCTCGAAATAGTCGCGCTTTTCGCCGTTGGGCATGATAGAGGCGTTCTTGATCACCAGACCTGCAATTGCTTCGTTCTGCAACACTGTTCCATCTTGAAGAAAGTCTGGGGCCGCTGTTTCGAGGTATATGCGTAGACCGAGCGAATTCACTAGAATTAACAATTGTCTGAGCACTGGTGGTATGAAACGTCCTTCCCACTCGGCAAAGAGTACACCACCAAAGGCAGTACCTTTGAAAGTCCTAACAAGCACGTTGAAGATTTTGTCCAGGCACATCTTCACATCATCGTCTGTAGCGAGTATCCGGCTCAGGTCAAGCCTGCCGAGAACTTGAGCGCCTCCCGCATCTGCTGCTGCGTCCACTGCTCCAACCTGAAGTGGATCTAGAATGAGAAGCTCCCATTGTGACAGGATTCTCGACTCCGCTTTAGTTGGGGGTATGCTGAACGAGCCCAGATATACACCGAAAGAGCTCGGCTTCTTCGACGTGGGCTGCGTTGAAGCCAGGCGCGGTGAAGATTGCGCAAGCCCCTCCAGATGGCTTGCAATCTGAGGCGGGACGATATTGGGGATGGGACGATTTTTGAAGTGATCAATAGACCGAGCTATTACCGAATACACAATATATATCGTTCCGATGCAAACAGAGCCCAGAATTATACCTATAAGAACCTGGCCATGTCAGAACGCTGAGAGTTATGAGAAATGCTTCCAAGACACACCCATTGCCACCAGTGGTCGTGCATGCCATCCCAACCCACTGGCTTGGGCTTTAGGACTTCAGCCATGTTGTAGTATAAAAGAGCGTGTATTCGAACAACTGGGTGAAGTGGAATAGGAAGAAGAATAGGAAGAAGAATAGGCCAGAGACACAAACAAACCAGCAAAGATATCACAACATTGAAAAGAGGGACAACATGACATCCGGGACACAGATGGTCATGCTGGAGTGGCCATCTCAGAGTCCCTTTGCATGGTTTGGGGTAGCAGTAGGAAGTGAAGAGATGGACCAGGGAAGGACGCAGCCATAAGTTCTGGCATACTACGTAGTCCCAAAGCTCTCAGAGGCAGAGGGGATCCCTTTACCCGGTTACATAGCCGTGCCAAACCTTGGGAACGATCATTTGGAATCACAGGCTAGCGACATAAAGCGGTCAACCAAGCTCCAAGCGTGGACCCAGCTGTTTGGTGGGGGCAAAGAGGCACGGTTGATTGTGTCGAGCCAGTTCAAGGTGGCCCATTTTCGTCTAGCCGGCCAGCCTGCAAACCTGCAAACCCTGGTGGCAGGTATTGGCATGTTGGTTGTCATGGTGGATCCGGAGGAATCGGGCCACGGTTGGATGTGAACCTGTTTCTGCGCTTGCCTCGAAGCGGAAGCGAGGAAGTGAAACTTTGATCCAGAAGACGGTGGCAGATTGGCGCTGGGACAGGGCCAAGGCTGTGTTCAGAGGCGGACAGCCAACCGGGAGATGGGAACGCCCCTTTTTCCTTGGCTGTGTGAAGGCAGACATGCGCACTGCGCAGATGATGGTACCGTAGGACACTGTATGTATGTAGGAGGGTGATAGAGTTATTTTGGTGGGCCTCAGGGGAGAGCTCAGCCACTAATTGCCACGCTGCCAGGACCCTATCCTCTTGGGCGCGTGTAATGCACAGGTGACGTTGTACGTACTACGTACATATGTAGGAGTAGGATGCAGATGACACTACACAAGGGATCTCGGAAGGGTCATGTAATGACAGGTAAGGCGTATACCGTATTTACCTCTCCCGAGCAGTACGTACTACGTACTACATATTACATACTACGTAACAAGTACGTGGTATGCATGTATTCTACACCAACCGTCTTCTGCTCAGCCCTTCGGATGGTGAAGCGCCCAACCGTTGTAGCTTTTGTCTTCATGCAGAAATTCTGTGCTACCGTAGTAAGCCATTATCACCCTGTGCAAGTAAGTACCTCTACCATCTCATCATGAGACCTGCCGGGTCTATTTGTTGCGTGACTTATGGTTCTGGTCGGCTTTATTACTTACCAAAAGCTCATTGGCCAATTTACATCGGTTGGAACGGTTATGAATGCTGTGACGAGGACTCGACAGAATCTAACCATGATACTACCCAGTACCGGATTTGTGAAAGGGATGTGTAAAGGGGATTCGAAGCCAGAGCCGTTCTATCCTGGACCCTCTCCTAGTGCTACGTGCTACGTGCTACGTAGAACTTGTATGCGCCAGCGTTGTCTGGCTCCACTTCTAGCGAGACCATGTCACGGACCCTTACCGCTCTACTCCCTAACTAGTCCGGAACTGCCATGCTGATGCCCATTCTCCCATCCGCGGCTTCTCAAATCTGCACGCTTCTCCTTCAGCTTCAGGGACGATCCGTAAGAATTTCCCACCAGACTCCCCCCACTGAGCTGCCCCTTGGCCGGAATCTCGTTGCTACGCATTTCTCCAGGTTGGCCAGGGGCCTAGCCCCAGTGGCGCTTCACCTTCGACATAAGAACTGTCGCTCCTCCCTTCATCGAAGGTAAAGTTGTCTGTGCAGTGCGGATCACCGCTCCCCTCTCACCTCTCACCTCAGTCATTCGTTCATCTGAGTTTCTTTGCCATTTGTCTTCTGCACGTAGTTTGCTTAATATAACGTTGCTCAACACACTCTGCGTACACTGCTAACTGCTTCCCTATCGCCAATCGGGCCACGATTCACAATAAGCATTTGAAGCAATGTCTACCACAGCAGTAGTGACTAGCTCTGCCACTGCTTCACCCTCCGGCGCTGCTGCGCCCATTGCCAACGGTACTTCGTCGGCTGCTGCTGCTGCTGCTGCTGCGGTAGGAGGAAACACCAAAGCGGAGATTCTTGTCATCGCCAGAGACGCAGCAAGTGCCAGGAACCTCGCGTCCGGTTTCAACGGCTACGGCATCCCGTACAGCACGTTGGTTGTACCCCAGGCCGGTACACAGCTTCCAGCCCTGAATACATCGGGCGTCGGTAACTACGGTGGTATCCTCATTCACGGCCAAGTTGCCTACGATTATGGTGGAACTCTAGGTTTCCAAAGTGCTCTTACGGCGGATCAATGGAACCAACTGTATGCCTACCAAACTGCTTATGGAACACGCATGGTCCATCTCGATGTGTACCCCGGTGCTCTCTTTGGCACAAACGCTGTAGGCGCCTGCTGCGACAATGGCGTTGAGCAACTCATGTCTTTCACTAACACTGCTGCATTTGCACAAGCTGGTCTTAAGACTGGCGCTGGGATTTCAACCCAAGGCCTCTACCACTATGGAGCTTCAATTGCCGATGCCGCTACGACAACGCAAATTGCCCAGTTTGCCGCCAACAGCCAGCTCACCTCGACCACCACTGCTGCAGTCATCAACAATTTCAGTGGTCGGCAGCAGATGGCCTTCTTCATCGGCTGGGCCACCGAATGGTCGCCAACTTCCAACGTTCTCCAGCACGCTTACATAACTTGGATGACCCGTGGTCTCTATGCCGGCTATCGTCGCGTCAACTTTAACACCCAAATTGATGACATGTTTTTGATCACGGATATCTACAAGCCAGCGGGGACCACATTCCGCCTTCGTGCAGCTGATCTGACCGCTCATGCCTCTTGGGTTGACACAATCAACGCGAAGATGAATCCTGGTAGCTTTTATGTTCCGGAAATCGGGCACAATGGCAATGGAAACATCGAGCAAGCACAGACCGCCAACAACGGCGAAAGAATTTGCGCACCCGGTCCTATATATTACGATCAACTTCCAGCCACACCCCTCGAATTCAAGAAGCCACTTGGAAGTGGTACCAATCTGTGGCCGGCCACACCAACCGCGTATTCATATTCAGCACAATGCGTCAACCTCGATCCGTTGAAGACTTGGTTCAGCACCACTGCAAATCGTGACAAGTTTGCCCATCTTTCCCACACATATACTCATTTGTCGCTCAACAACGTCACTTATTCTGATGCCACCAAGGAAATTCAATTCAATCAAGCCTGGCTCTCTGCAGTTGGCCTTGCTGCTGGGGCATACTTCAGTCCGAGAGGTCTGATCCCACCCGCTATTACTGGTCTTCACAACGGTGATGTCTTGAGGGCATGGAAGGACAGCGGGTTGACAAATTGTGTTGGTGACAATACTCGTCCCCCTCTACGGAATACGCAGAACGTCATGTATCCCTACATCACCACATTCGCTGCCGACGGATATGATGGTTTCCAGGTCAATCCTCGATGGGCTACTCGCATCTACTACAATTGTGACAGTGCTGACTGCACCGCCTCCGAATGGGTGGACACGTCCTCTCCAAGACCGAATCCGGGTGACTTCCAGGCCTTGCTAGCCGCGGAGAAAGCTGATGTTACTCGTTATCTTTTTGGTCTCTATCACGATGGCTACATGTTTCATCAGGCCAACTTGCGCCAGACTGATGTGCAGCCCACCACCATCAATGGTGTTACATCCAGGCTCTCAATTTTTCAAGCCTGGGTTGAGGTTCAGGTCCAGGAATTTGTTCGTCTGGTTAACTGGCCCATGGTTACCTTGAAGCACGATGATGTAGGTGCTGTCTCGTTAAGAATTCGTCACAGCTAACTTGGTTCACAGATGTCGGCTTCGTTCGCTGCTCGTTTGACAAGAGACTCTTGCGGATACAGACTGACCTGGCTCCAGTCTGCTTCCCAGATCACTGGTGTACAACTCACCGCCAATGGTAACTCATGTGCCTCGCCAATCCCAGTAACTTTCCCAAATGGGAACAGGCCAAGCAGCCTTCCAGCCGGCGCTACCACTGAGCAACGCGGCAATGATCCATATACTGTCTGGGCCAGGCTAACTGGCGCGCCGGTCACTATGAACCTTGCAACCCCCATTTCATTGTAGGGCGGGCACATCATCATTTCCTGTCCTACCAAGGGGTTACCATTCCGGCGCATTAACGTAAAGAAAAGTCGAGGTATGGGTATGTGGGGATGTTGGCATTGGACGAGATGCACCTCGATCGTCTTGTACATATCGTCTCGACCAGTAACGAATCTTTTAATGTAATGAAGTCAATATACAAATATCCCTTTTAACATTCTTACCTCCTTCGATTCTACTCTGGGTTTACTCTTGTCTTCAACATGTATGTCTCCACGAATGCACATATGTGCGGCTTCCGTTTCATGCGGGCCCTCATCCAACATCATGAACGCTCCCGCTGATGGTCACCTCGACCCAAAGTCCTGAGATTACATTTGTCATAGCTCTCTCGGCTTGACATCTACTGCTGTGCGATAGTGGAGATTAAACTCCAGCTGGTGGAGTTTGGGATCGATCCGTTTCCGTGGTGCGGGAATCGTCTACCACAGATCCGCAATCCAGCGACTCTAGGAGGCGAGACCTTTTTCTAAAACGGGCCCGAAATGAATATTCCGCAGAGCCGCGGACTGGTGTGAAAGAAGCACAGACCTTCGGACCCTTTACTTACGTACTTTAACTCAGAAAAGGATTTCAGGCATGAGCTACCGATCGAAGTGGAGGAAGCACAATTTGGTGGCACCTGTCAGAAAGGTGACAAGACGACTAAACCATCAGAGCGCCAACTTAATAGAAATTGAACCCATTTCGTCTTCATCCCCTCACTGTGTCTTGACCCAGCGGCAACCACATCCCGTATCTCCTCATTCTAGCCGATTGCTTCAGGAGTCAGTTGATGAGGAAGGTGACCACCCGAGCAGGATTATTTGTCGCTACCTTTTTGCAGAAATACGACTTTTGCTGCATGCAACCTCATGAGCGAGACGCCAACGACATTGTACCGCCTCAAGAGCTTGATGCGTGATTTAGGTTCACATGAGCTGCATCCGGAGTAATGTGCTCATGCTTGGTTCACGGGTCTAAGCTCGAGCTTAGTGTAGTGCTGTCTCACTAGTAAGGATTTTACGTAGTATTGGCTTGTAACTTGTGGCGAGTAAATTACGGTATTCGAAATGTGCTGTACGATGGACGTCATCTGGTTATAGTAGTAACGACGAGAGTACACGCAGCCGTACCACCCTTTCAAGGACCGGCCTGCTTGGTTCGACCATTGTCTGAAAGTGTGTCTCGGTGGTCTCTGACATTCAAGACCTCGTCCTCTAACATCGAAACGTTTTGCGCTACTCTCAGCGAGATACTCTCAGCGAGATATTGGTATTTCTAAGGATCGAGTCGTTCAAGAATGCACCATTCGTTCTGCCTTTTTCTTTCATAGATCTTTGATCGTTCTCCGACGCTGAGAGCCTACCTGAAAATTCCCTGTCCTGGGTCTTGCCTCTCATCCTCTTCGACGATATTCGGCAGAAGGTGGCGAACGCCCACTCCCAGATGTTTGAGATCGATAGCGCTCAGGAGAAGATCAGCCCGGCTGCGCGGAGCAGCTGGTGGCAGCGATGGTCGCTGAGGAGGAAAATCATCATTGGAGCCACGCTCTTGCTTGTCATTATAGCTCTTGCCGTAGGACTGGGAGTGGGATTGACAATTGCAGGATCTGAAGATGAGGCGCCGGGGGATAATGGCACTGCACCTCCACCAGTGTCACCTAACGGCACTATTCCCGCTGGAATCTGGAAGCCGGTGGCGGGCACGACTTGGAATTACGAGATATTGAGGCCAGTCGGTGAAGTGTCTGCGGATGCCGAGGTCTGGGATATCGACCTTTTCAATAACAACGAGACTGTTATTAATTCTATACAAGCAGCGGGCAGAAAAGTCCTTTGTTACTTTTCTGCAGGAAGCTACGAAGACTGGCGGCCAGATAAGGATGAGTTTCAAGAATCAGATCTGGGCAATGACTTGGTTGGATGGGAAGGAGAGAAGTGGTTGAACACTAGGTCCGACAATGTACGAAGGATCATGCAAGCCCGATTGGATATGGCAGCACAGAAGAGGTGTGATGGGGTTGAACCCGACAACGTAGATGCATATGACAATGACAATGGTCTGGGCTTGAGCGAGGCGGATGCACAGGACTACGTCACATTTCTGGCCAACGAAGCTCATTCCCGCAATCTTTCTCTTGCGTTGAAGAATGCTGGCAACATCGTGCCTGCCGTCATCGATATCGTGGAGTATTCGGTGCAAGAACAATGCATCCAGTACAATAACTGCAATCAGTTCATGCCTTTCATTCAGGCGAACAAACCCGTTTTCCATGTGGAATACCCCAAAGGCGATGATATCAACAACAACAACCTCATCGCGATGGACGCTGAAGAGTCGATATGTGACAGTTCTGCTGCTGCCGGCTTTTCGACCATCATCAAGAACATGGATCTGGACGACTGGATTCAACCATGCCCTACCAATCAAACCTACTCGGGAAACTAAAGACTATTTTAGCAATCACTTTGGTTTGTATTTGATGTATCTAAATCTTCCACGCATAAGGCGCGGAGTTTTTCTGGATGTTGCAGTACTCTCATGTACATATGGGCGGGGACGGTCCGGAACTTTGCAACAATGGGTGTTGGATCACCAAGAGATAGCGTAGTCGTTGAACCAAAAGACCTGCAGCTCTAATGGCTGCACTAACATATATTTTGTTTGACAGTAGTTCAATTCTGTGCTACTGACATGTATCCATCATAGATCTGCTACAGGCAATGACTGTTGAATCTATATCCCGCATGTTGCGACGTGCTTTCTCTGCATCTTTCATTCAACTACAAACAGAGGACAGTCTATTCGTAATTTCCGTGCAATGCATGACATCCAAGTATCCTAGAATGATGTTGCAGGCAGCATGCGTTCGTCGGAACCTTGGACCTTGGATCCGAGATATACCGTCTAGTTACATGCAAACTTACATGCATACTGCAGGAGTACCGAATGTACCGTCTTGGCTCGGTGGGAGTATTGTCCGGTTTTCAAATGACAGCAACGAGATCTCATTTAACTTGATTTACGCGAACCTGGCTCCGAGCTAGAGGAGCTTTTTTTGGCTCATGCGACTCATCGAACTTAGCGCCCAGTGGAGCCGAAAACCTTCCTACGTGTTCCTACCGATAAACCCCAGAGCGCCAATCATGATTCATCACAGTGGTTCGCCAAAACCATATTTTCCGCCACGTGTTTCATAAAGCTTTCGAAGAGCCTTGGACAAATTCCCCAGGTTGGCTTGCCATTATTTAATTTACCCGAAACCTGCTTGATGCTCCTATCCTATCCCTCAAATGGAGAATCGCCAGGCATCCACGAGGATCAGCTCTTCCCCTTCATGTCTCTCATTGGAATTTCACACGAATGCAGGGATATTTTTGAGCCGTCGAGTTCCTCCGCACGAACTCCTTGCTCCTCACCAACCACCTTGGCAGATCTGGGGATTAAGCCACCGACACTACGAACACCTACGAGGTCCTTTCATCTTAGCAATCTGGACTTCTTCTGACCTAATTGTTTTGCATTCTCGAGTTGTGAGTCACTAGCAGCAACAGCAGCAGCAGTAGCAGCAAAAAGGGCCATTTTGTGAGGAATTCAGCCACCGAATGTTGGCTTCATAAAAGGAACCGTCTCAAGTGACAGTGCTTGGATGTCATCCTTGACAGCTCGTGGGTTCACTTTTGCAGTCAGTGGTGTGTACTCCGTAACACATTCATCGATATGTAAGCTGCATTCTCAAGAAAATTGCCTATGGTATCCTTTTAAGTCTTCGACCATGGGTCATATCATCTCATTCCTCAAGGTGGCTTGAAGATCCGCTGCGGGACACCAGCCACATGGCGTTCAACACAATGAGAATAAAAGCCCTGGGGTTCGTATTCATACCATTTAAACTAGTCGACCTTCGGCAGAGCTTTCCACATCCCAACATAGAGCATACCACCTTGAAGCACCCCACAATGACTAATTAGTCAACACGCATAATGCATTGTCTGAGACTTGTCTCGCACCTACTCAAAGACTGAGTCTCTGTCAGGAAATTAATATCTATAGATGCTATTTATACGTTTGCCTTACTACGTACAACAGCATTTCCGACTGGGGCGATTGACATTCTAGAAGTTCTAACTTAGTGCGACGTGCCACTAGTAGCTGACAAGACGTCGCACAAGGACAAGCGGGCTGGCAGCATCCTACGTACGAGTCAGCGGTCAGCATGGCATGGGACTACACATGCAATCAACAAATCAGCATCGTTCATTTATTGCAAAGGCGGTGTTGCATCCATGCCCAGTACCATTCCCATCACTGCTGAACAGCCACAATCTCTCAGAGCAGAGATATCAAGCCACTTCAACCATGCAACGCGTTCAAATTTAACGCGCGTTGATCTTGTCAAAACAGATTCTCAACATACACATATCACGTACTGTTAGGCTACGGGGTAAGTCCTGACTTAACCTCGGCGATTGCTGCTTGCAACTTCGCTTAGCTCTGCAGTAGTCACTATTGTATTCTCAGTCAGCAATTTGCATGTTTCCCGTCTTCACAGGCATCGGGATCTCCTGTCAATGCGCTGTCATTCAATAGAGTCTCCACTCAAGCAAAAGTTGACTGTATCATGTGGATCGTCCTGGGCTTGACCTTGTGGCGACAGCTGGCAGCCCCAACCACATCCATCCTGGTTGCATATCTTACATGTGTGCGACTGCGTTAAATTGATATAGATCAGTCGTTGTCAAATCACCACTCCAAGCATAGTGGCAATGTGGAATTGCTTCTCCACTTCATGTACCCGATTCGCCACCGTAACTCCTAGAGTTCAGCTCGAGTCTAGCTCGAGTCTGGCTCAGTCATCTCGCCGGAACCTGTATCGAGCAACAGGAATTTAGTCCTGTGAGCTCGCGTCATTTTCTCTATGCTTTATTCTAAGAAAGTCTGTGCTGGGATATCGACCTTTCAAGCAGCCATAGCGTCCACGAATTCCACCCATTTGGGTGCAAAGTTTGCATAATAGTGTTCGCACAACTCAGTCATGAAAACATCGCCTGCAATCTTCCTCGCCTGTTGACCCAGGCGGCGCCATTCCTCACCGTTGAGATGCTCGGGAATACTGTGAATAACACAAGCCAGCTTGCTCCTATCCACCATGGATAAGGCTGTGGCAGAGAAGATGGCATTGGAGACCCTTGTCTGGAAGGTATGGTAAGTATCTTCGAATACGACGGTCGAGTCGGCCAGTTTGAGAAAAGCGGCATCCGGAACGCATCCGGGGTTATGAATAACCTTGAGCAACCATCAGCGCGGCAGCACCAGACGAGTCCTTGAGCCATGATACACGTACAACATTCTCATCACCAGCCGGCATCTTCTTTACGTGCTTCCACAGTTTGGCTAGATAAGCTTCAGCTTCGGCATCGTAGACGTTCGGTGTCTCATCGACAAAGACACCAGAGATTTTCAAATCTGGAAGACCAGAACACTCAGGCCACTGAGCATACTTGTCGATATCCTTAAAGACCAAAGCCAGATCACGTTTGGCCCAGGTGGTGTGTACGTAGCCCACGACTTTCACGTTTGCATGACATGTCAACCTGGGTATTTCTCGTTGATAGTTTGCGTCTGGCAAGTCATCGAGTCCAGGACCGTTGAATGGATTGATCACGACGGTGAAGGAGACATTCGGATACGCGGCAATCCTACAGAAAATTAGCTCCATGTGCCGAGATGGCTTGTATTTGGCGGTATGGAGGGTAATGGCTGTAGCATGGAAGAGGCCGTCTGTGCTAGCGTTCGTGCAAGACTCGCCTAATTAGCCCGGGCATTTGCGAAGGATGCGAACCAATGAACATCTCCCTGCTCCAACTACTTGCCGAGGAACCAAACACAGCCTGGACTTGTCGGAGAGCCCACGAATCATGCAGCGGCGTGGAGAGGAGTCGGAAACGAAGACTGAGGCTTTTTACTCACATGTGCTGCAGAGGAGTCCAGGCGCCCGGGTTGGGATAGACGTAAAGTGGTAAGAGGATAGTTGACTTTGGCGCATCTCCCATTGTGGCAATCTCACATACATAGGGATTGTATTCTTTTATCCGGGGATCGAACTTGTCGTCTTCGGAATCGGTGCTATCGATTTTCCTGCGACTGACAGCGTTGCCTTTGAAGCACGAAATTCCCGCACCCATGACGCCTTTCCGACCTTTCCGATCAGCCTTCGCAAGAAGCCCGGAAAGGCATTGGCCAAGTGGCGCTAGGCAAAGCCGAACAATGTAACGACGCTCAAAGCGGTTGCCCTGATTGATGGGTGGTGTGCGTGAGGCGTGAGGCGTGACGGGACGAGATGAATCAGATGATGGAGTAGCACAGACAGAGGTCGGTCAACTGTCAGGGCTATTCCATAAAAATAAACTCGTGCGGTTACTGGGCCATGCACTACCCCCTGAATCACCCCACCAGGACGATACGCAACCACTCTGGAAAGGCAGAGGCCCCGAGTCCAGCTTCTAACTAGTTAGTGCAGGATCTGACAGCCTGGTGCGGTAGTACGGAGTGGTGCAACCAGATCTGCACGAGGAACTATCACCATGCCGCCCGCGAACCTCGATCTAGCAGCACCCGAACTACTACGTACAGGAGAGGCACGGCTCAGCCACTTTTATGCCCGATTTGGGGAATGCAAGGTAATCAGTCACCCATCAAACCACTGCCTAGGTAGTAATTCCTGTGGGAAGGGAGCAAATTGCTTCCCTCGAAGCCTTTGGTGATACAAGGGTCCCAAAAGTGTGGGCCTTCAAGGAGAATTTCCTCCACCGCCTATCTGGAATAGTGGATACTCTGCCGACGTACGGTCGAGGTCACCATGCAGATGCTCGCTATGCTAGCCGACGTCGCAGCAAGCGTCCCTGACTCCACTGCCTATTGAAAGTTTGTTTCGAGTCGAGGCTGATTGGTGTACGTAGTACAGGAATTGCTGACTTGCTGAGCTGCATGGGAAACCCACCGTGGCACCGGCGAGCCTCACCGCGATGGTTCGGTCTCAAAGTATACGCTGCGACAAATGCTGTATATATGCGCACTTGCATCCTCTTGTGTTCTTTCTTACTGTCAACCAATACTCAGTTCCCAAGCCATTCATTGAACACTTCTAAGCTTCTGCAACCTCTTCCAGTTCTGTCTTTCGCTCAGACTGCTTTCCATTTTCATTTATCGCACCTTGTTGCATAATTCCAGACCTCACCCATTGGCATGGCCTTCGAGATCTTCGGACGATCAAACGCAGATGCTCCACCTTCTCCAGCATGTTCCTCTCCATCCTCCGACATCGATACCCCAGCAACAGGACGTTCAGTCCTCTTCGAGGGTCCGTTTGATGCCAGCCTCGACAATCTCCACAACCAATATATCCTCGTCACCGGCGGCCTCGGCTTCATCGGCTCCCACACCTCCCTCGAACTGCTGAAGTCCGGCTATAATGTTATCGTGATCGACGATCTGAGCAACTCCTTCCAAACAGTCTTCGACCGCGTCCAACTCCTAGCACAACGATACCACACAACTCAAGGCACAAAGTGCCCAACCATCGAACTCCACGACATTGACTACCGCAACATCCACGCCCTCTGCACCTTACTAGACGCCCACAAAACCACCTCACCCTGGGACGCCACCGAACGGTCCTCCATCGTCGGTGTCATCCATTTCGCAGCCTTCAAAGCCGTCGAAGAATCCATCCGACAACCCCTGAAATACTACTCCAACAATGTCAGCGGCCTGATCGATTTCACCTCCACCCTCGGCGCCTATGGCATCAAGAACTTCATCTTCTCCTCGTCGGCAACCGTCTACGGTAGCATCGCCAACAAAGGTGTTCCCCTGAAAGAAGAACACTGCGTCCACCACCCGGTAACATTCCCCGGCACAGACGAGTTGGTCGAACAAGGCTGCACAGGGATTAC